CAAACCAATAACACTGGTCTTGCAGTGAGGGCGACCTCTGCATGGTGTGGGTTACATGCTCGTTTATGCCTAGGGAACAGCAAAAATCTGTTTGAAGTACTTAATCTCTGCTCCTGCCAGCTCCTTCTGGGTTGCTAGACTGGTCCCGGAAGCCTCTTCTCCCCTTCGCTCTGGCAGTCTAAAGAACGCTGTAATGACATCCAATGCAGGTTCCAAAGACCAGTATTAGATGTGAGGAGGCCGAGGGATATTCCACTGCCAGAGTGGAGGGGATAGAGGTAAGCGCTGACTGCTGGGAGAGCAGTGATCAGGTAAGTAAAAAGTGCTTTACTCTGGTGCCCTAGGCATAAATGTGCACTTAACCCTCGCTGTGCTGTGGTAGCCTCACTTCATGGGTAGTTTTGCTTTGCCTGGCGATGGGCTTTAAGCTGTTACCACATGTAGACCTGTCAGACGTCTGTTCGTTCCTAAAGGAACAATCAGAAAAAAATAGGATTTACAAAGTTTCAGAGTACCTATACTATCTGTTTGTTTTGTGTCTGCTGCTACATAAAATGTCAGCACTGCTCTTCCTGCAAAATTTCAAATGTCCTAGTAGTGGGTCATATATTCCTATTCAGATTGTTTTTATCACATAAACCATCCTGGAAAAGAAATAACAGCCAAAAAGCATATTTGTCATCCGATTAGGAGTAGAAGAAATGGTTAATCTGTGGAAGTTTCTTCCTTGTGATGGGTAAAATGAAAGGGAAGGTTTTCTGTGTCTCTAGTGCCTTAGGTTACCAATTCTTTGCATACACTGGATCTGTGTTTACGGTACACAGCTTTTAATTGGCAAACCTCCTGTAGTCTACATTTCATAATTACTGTTGGTGCGCACTTTGACTTATTCATTGGTCCCCAGATAATGTGAAGCTGTCCATAGACTTTAGAGGGCACCTGGACTTGATCAGTACACCCTCAGAGTAAAATGTCTTTGGAGAACTGCAGAGTGGAAGGCACATGCAGGATGATGCCACATGTTTTGTAGGCTGTCCAGTCACTTTTCCCTTTCAAAAACAGTCAGCTGGAAATACCGACATGCACCTGAGCTATCCAGCCAATCATGCAATTTTTGCTGTCTGTTTTATCTTGTGTATGTGAGTAGCTTACATTAGAACTGCGGCCAGGCTATGGACATTCAAAAAGCTGAACTCTGGGTTAGTTTAATATTTAACCTTGCAGTATTCTAGTCAATTATCATTTTGTCAAGGGAGATGGTAATAAGCACAATCCTTATTGTATTCCCTGCTCCCCCCAACAGCTGGTGCTCTTTTCTGTTCAGTGCTCCCAGGATGTGGGTGGGCCCTGGTTGTCTTCACATACATTGCAGGATTGCTGGTCTTGCATTGTACATGATATTGAAGAGCTGAGACCAATCAATGAAGAGTGGCTTTAGAGGACAGGTGGTTCAGAGAGAAGGTAGCCTGTGGGAGTGAAGAATAAGGAATTTCACTCTATTCCCATTCCCCTTATACAACACAAACACTGCAATTTTTACACCAAGTCAGAGTTCAGCTTTAACAAGTAGTAAATCAATTTTAAAATATGTCCTCACTGACCTCTATAGCTGCAGACACTTGAGGGATTCAGTGAAGTTGTCTCAGGCCTTGTTCACACCAAAAGCGTGTGTGTGTTCCAGAGCGGTAGCTGCTGGAACGCATCGCGGTCGATAAAAATGTCTCCCCGCGTTCTGGAGTGGGAAGGGGTTTGGCGGTCCATTGAATTAGGGCTTGCTACCGCTCTGGCACACATGCTTTCGGTGTGAACAAGCCCTCGGTGCTCTGCTCATTCTTCCCTAGGGTACATTTCTGTTTACGTCAGAAGTTAGGCTTGCAGAAGGTCAGCTCACTGTTTCTTTTTTTTTTTTAATCGGAACATTTGAGGATGACTCACTCCATTGTGCCTGCACATATAGAGGTCATGTTTTAAAGCATTGCTTGTTATGATGTATGCCTATAGTCTGATCAGATTTCTTCTTTAGCTAGTTTCTTTTTACCTAAATTCATTTATACAGTCATAGAAAGTCTCAAATCATTCCCTGTTGCTCCCATCCACACAGATATCTGGATCCTAGACCTGAAAGTATATTGTTCCAAATGGCTCTCTGTACACAAGCTCTCTGTAAAGTATCTGCTTTGTATATTTTCAACCAAACCTGATGCGGAAAGCTCCTTTAGTAACATTGCTCACCTGGACAGTGTTTCAGTGCTGCACAGAACACAACCTAGAGCCACATCCAACGTAGGTGTGTGCACGTTGTTAAATTGCTGTATTGGGCCAGTGCAAATGGGTTGCACTATTTCACAAACGGGATAAAAAAAAGCATAAAGCAGGAACCGCCTTTGTAAGAACATGGCGGGTGATTCAACCCTTTGGTGGTTATGCTTGTCTGCATACTAGACCTAGAAGCCCAATTCGGTTTTTTTGTTTTGGTTAGGGTAATTTGTGTCTGGTTTATATCCATTTAAACCCTGCATTCCCTACTATATCTAAAGGTGTGGTAATTGAGTGGAGGTGAGCATTAACTGCTGTTCATGTATATGAACGGCCAGTCTGACAAATTGGGACGTTTGCTTTGGGTTTTGATCTTTATAAAGAGATCTGGTTATCAATCATCCATCTAGCAACCATCCATCATACTAAACTTAGCACGGTCTGAAACACAGCATACATATGCATTGAAGTATCACCTCCTTAGTAACACAAACTACTTAGATGAAGAACAAAAAGGCTGACTTTCATTGATTTCGGAAGTGATTTTGCAGTGTTGAAGAATATAGCCGTGCCGTTTGTAAATGTGCTACCAGAAGCAGGGAATTCCCGGCTTTATATTTGACTGTTCCCTTAGGTCTAAATGAGTGCAGCATAGACACCATTGCATCTGCTTGTAGTTTACATACTTTATTCACTGTTGTGATTTTCACAGGTTTTTTTGAAAACATGAACGTGTAGCTGGTTTGCATGCAATTATCATTCATTGTGCCAGCTATTATTTACAGGGCCGTGTAATGCAGTTACCCAAGAATGTAAATGAAATATATTTCATCTTACCAGTCCTTGGGTGTGGTTCGTGCATTAGTTTTGTATTTTCAGCCTTTTCCCCCCTCATGATCAGCTGGTGGTAATACAAAGGGCTCAAACAACTTATCGAGTTAGTCGTTAATGATCAATAATTATAACCATTGTCAACTATTCTCATTATATATATATATATTAGTTGATCTGCGCTCAATCCCATCTAGTTCCGCTGCTCTCAGCGTGGATCGAAAGGGACACAGATCTCTGCTGTCGGTGGCCAGCAGTGAGGAGAGCTCTCCCCAAATACCAAACACCCATCCCTCCGCTGCATCGGCTCTGCTCCTGCCACTCTTTACCTTTCTCCTCCCCGGTGGGAGCCCACTGCATGTTGCTGTCTGGAAGGTGACCTCATCAGTGTGCTGTTGCTGTTCATTATCTGTTCAGCAGCCAAACTGCACTGGATGATTTTTCACAATTGTTTCCATCTCAGGTGGCTGACACTTTTAAGGAGAGAAAAATGAGGACCTGTACATATGGAGCATACATGCAGCTATTACACTATGATGGCTCATATAGATCTGTCATAACTGGTCTGCACCTATGGAGCATACATGCAGCTATTACACTATGATAGCTCATATAGATCTGCCATAACTGGCCTGTACCTATGGAGCATACATGCAGCTATTACACTATGATAGCTCTTATAGATCTGCCATAACTGGTCTGCACCTATGGAGCATACATGCAGCTATTACATGCAGCTATTACACTATGATGGCTCTTATAGATCTGTCATAACTGGTCTGCACCTATGGAGCATACATGCAGCTATTACACTATGATGGCTCTTATAGATCTGCCATAACTGGTCTGCACCTATGGAGCATACATGCAGCTATTACACTATGATGGCTCTTATAGATCGGCCATAACTGGCTTTATGAAGACTTGGAGGATGTGGCTTTGAATAGTTACTCTCTTAGAGAAGCCATAATGCTGTGTATATTCCCCTGCTTTGTTGACTGCATTAGGAAATGTTATTGTTGCACAAACCTAAATCTTTTTATGATGGTTCTTTTCCACTTCCCACCTCAGTCAGTGACGTATGTTATAGGCACATGTGGTTTAAATACTGTAAAGTTGGTTAAGTAAATGTAATGATCTGGAATGCACCAAAAGGCATGTAAACTCACTGGAGCGCACCTGAAAGGCCATTCGGCTTGAAAAGCACCAGAACCCACAAATAACGCATCATAAATGCACCGTGTTTGCAGAAATGCATCTAGATCTGGACACGGTGTGAACAAGCCTCAATAGCAAATGCCTGAATAAGGACTTTTTTGGCAGGCTCACCAGGTATATATTAATGAAATCTGCAGATGTAAAAATATTGAAAATGATTATATTAATATGTTAAATCCTAATGAGCTTCTTGTGATTGGGTTTACGTATACTTTGTTTGTGTTGTCTCCGCATTTGCTTCCTTGATTTTTCATTTCATGTCACCAATATTGTCCATGAATTATGTAGAATACAGTAAATCAGACAGATGTTTTGCTGCATGCATTTCATTTGTTTTGTTGCTTCAGCAAATGCAAATTGTTTTAGAAGGTAGTAATGATCTAAGAGAAGGGAACAATCCTTTTAGCGCATAGGCAATCAAAAAAATTATATATAAAAAAAATATATAAAAAAAATTTATTCTTGAAATATAAAATTGGGACTGCTGCATGTGCTTTGTTGGAGACTATTGATTTATCAGATCTGGTTCTCTGGGGGCATGAACCCTGAGAACACCAATAAAGCACTAAGCATACGAAAATATAAAAATATACTTGATTTGGAGTTGCTTGCAGCTTTTATTCCATGGATGGCTTGCTTTGTTGGAATGGACTTTCAATGACAACTGACCTAAAATATGCACTCTTCTCCCACAGGCTTTCAAGGAGATGTTGTATGCAGCCCAAGACCAGGCCCCATCTATTGAAGGTAAGGAGGAATGTGTTTGATTTCATGAACTGGAAAGAAGTTCACGTTGTAGAGAAGATACAGTTCTTAAAAATAGACTTGTTGAGAAAAACATAATAAATTATTAACTGTTTAAACCAGTGCTGTCATCATAAATTAACACTCCTTTATTCAAAACTGCTATAAAAGGCAACTAGTTTCTCCACAGAGTGATGCTTAAAGTGACCCTAAACTTAGGAGTTGAATCTTAAAAATGCATTCAAGTACCTTAACTAGTAACATAAATGTATCCTATTTGTGCATCACTCAGCTGTAGATCCTCAAATCATCTCTGAATTGGTGCTGACACTGTCCTTCCTTCTGGAGGGTGGCTACTTTTGTTCCCCATGGTCCCTGTGTGTTGTAAAGTAGCCACCAATCCAAGCTCATCCCTGTAATAGACTATAACTTAATACAAATTAGTAAACCATTTTCATCCATAACAAGAGCGAGCTTGGAGCGGTGGCTACTTTACAACACACAGGGACCATGGGGAACAAATGTTTTCCCAGAACGTATACTTACTGAAAGATCCGTTTTGGGTGAACAAAGGCTTTAAAGCTCAACTTCAGGATAAGAAAAAATAGTATAAATACAAGTGATGTGTATTCTTACTCCAACTCTTGGTGTGCTTTGTGTATTTCCTCCAGATCTGTGTAGTAATCCAGTGTAAAACTTTGCCTCTGTGCTGGAGCTTTCTTTTAATAAAGACCAATCACTGGTGCTCTCTTTTGTGCAGGATGACAGGTCTTGTATCCGCCCCCTCTTGTAGTGTTCTCCAGGCAGCCTGTAGTGGGCGGAGCGGGCTGGGTCCTTTTTACAGCTCTGCTCTCTGCATAGGCTATGTCAAGCACAGTAATGACGTCACTGCTAATTTTACGTGGTAATGTGTTTGCGAAGACCTTTGGTGCACACAAAGTGGATTTATATAATTTATGCTGTTAAAGAATGTATTCAAATGAAGTATTTGTGCCTGAAGATTTGCCTTCCTCCTCCATCCAGCGATCTTTCCTCCATCATAGTGCACATGCATTTGAAACCAGGGGTAAGCGATTCCATTACAAAAGGGAAGAACCAGGACAGGAGTGGAAGAAGCTATAGTAATCCGCACCATAGACTGCCCCCTTTGCAGAGAGCAAAGTATCTTGATATATTCAGAGTGAAGCAGATAGACCAGCTCATGGCAGAGGTTAGATAGTATTCTGGGACCTTCTTCTGCACCAGCACTCCCACCACACGTATACATGCAGACGGTGGGAAAACATTTCTGCATGTTGCCTGTTCTTTTCCTAGCAGTTCCATGTGCAATGAATGTATTAAAGGTAATGTTACAGTTCTGCTGTTATGTGTTGTAGACACTGCCACTTTAGCAATTCAGGCCATAGTGACAGTTTCTTTGGAAAGAGCCCATCCGTCACCCACGCGGAACCCTGATATACCTTGCCAGTACTTCTTCGCCAATTCTGCCTTTGTTGCATCTGGCAATGAAAACCCTAGTGGAGGCTGATGTCTGATGCAAAGGGAAGCAGTGTCAGCACTCTTCTGGCAATGTGACAGTGCTCTGGCCTAGCAATTGGCTACTAGATGCAAATACTGTCACATGAGGGGTGGTAAATGCTCCTCCATATACTGAAGCTCCTAGTAATCGCTGGGGGCAACAGAGGCAGTTGAGCGAGGGAGAACAGACAAGGTACTTATCAGGGGTTCAGTGCAGGTTGACCATGTCTCTTTAAGTTGGTGCTTGTTTTCTGGTGTATGCTAGAAAGTAAATACAAATATTTAGCCAGTTTCTCATGTTTTTTCCTTTTTTGTACAAGAAAGTATCAAACCCTTTTACTATGAAGACATTAATACCATTCAGAGCAATATGTAAGAAAACATTTGTGAACAAAACAAAGGACCACCTCCTATACGAGCTTTGTTTCATATCTAAGTGCATCCTGTAAACTTATTTGACTTTTTTCATTTGTAAACATGAACATTTTTTCATCAACATTTGAATTTTATGTACCAAGTATTGACAATGTCATTAGAATTGTTGGTTTTAAGCAGACTTCTGTCACCAACATTCTAGAAGATGCGTCCTCCCGTCACTGACACCTCTCTCCTCCATACCGCTGAGCCGCAGTCTGGCTCGCTCCTCTTGTTAACGCCGAATCGGCAGACGGTGGATCACAGCTGTGCTCCCATAGTGGCAGGTTCGTAGGCATGTGAGAAATATCTCGCCGTGAGCACAAGCTGTCCTCACGCCGATAACGCAACTTCACATGCAATGTAGCCCTGGGTGGAGTTGGTACTATTGCTCCTGGTTGCCAATTACAAACTGCTCTGTTAGACTCCTTCAGACTCGTGTCTTTTTATATTTTCTCTGGCTTGTGTTTTTCCCAAGATTTATGAATATACTTTGCTCCCTAATGGCTCTTTAAGACTTTTTTTTTTCCTGTGAAGTAATACCCTTGCAGACTGTTTGTATAAACGGTTCGGAGAAGGAGGCTCCGGCATCCATAGTAAGATTTATAAACATTCGGAGAGTTTGTTTGTGTGTGTTTGCCCAGTAAATGCCACGTGTGGATTTTTATTGTAGATCCCCTGGTGCAAAGTCGAATGCATTACTGGGACAAAAATCAACACTAGCTGATATATTAAAGAAAAGATTTCATCTTGTTGGCAATTTCTCTGTTCAGTTTTTTAGATCAGCCATTGCTTATTTGTAGCTTTGATGTCTGCCCCCCTCAGTGATGATTCAAGAGCTTAGTCTGACTTCAGCTCTGTATGATGTTGCGTATTTAACGTTTGGTTACTCGGTGTTCTTCAAGGTCAAAAATCTTGATTTGTGCACCTGCTTAGCAGTTCTTTATTTTCTGTATTGCTGAGCCTATGTTCTGCTTGTCAGTATAATATATTGTGTGCTTTGGATAAATTGTATAGGTGCTACAAGCAGGTCCTTGTGTTCCCATCCTCCTCCTCAATTCTTCCGCTCATTTAGCAGATGTGCAGCCTTCTCCCCAGACTCCTTAGGATTCAGGGCGTCCAGGATGAAAGCGTGCTTGTAAATTATTCATTGTGATTATCTGCCTCGCTGCCCGGGGTCCACTGGTGATTTTCTGTGTTTTTTTTTTTTTTTTTTTTTGGCCCCAGCATTAAGGTATTCTGGACACCAGTGAGGAGAAAGAACAACAAACAAAATGCACAAAGGTTGGCAGATTGGCCATGAAATAGATATTTGAGGTTGGGAAGAACAAAGGTGTCACTTTATGGTATTATACAAAATTGAATTATACTGTTTTGTTGCTGGAAAGCGCCATCTCAGCTAAATCAAACCAACCAAGATTTACCGGTCTAAAGATTTGTTCATCTAATATAAAGAACCTTCTATTTTCCTAGGAGTCCTCGAACGGTAGATTGTGTGAACAGGAGCAATAAAGCCACTACTCCTCAGACAATTGATAAGGAGGTTAGCATCTTTTATGGATAGCTAACACATTTATTGATTTATTTACTGCAAACTCTGTTATTGAGGCAACTGAATGCTTTTTTTTTTCCTTATATGATTTCTGTTTTAGGTGTTGATCTTATGTCTATCTACATGCAGGGAAAAGGAGTAGAGAACCTGTCCCAACTGCCATTAAACCCCTCTGATAATTTATGGGAGTCAAGATATTCTGACCAGTTTGTGGTCAATACACATCTGCATGTCTGAGTGTTCTCGGAAATCAATCTGTAGATTTATTAAAGGGTGGTTTCCCAAGTGAATTTTGAAAAATGGAGTTACGCTCTCCAATGTGGCACCCCCTCTCCCCCCCAATGACCCACCAACCCCCTGCAATACTTACCTTTGGGCGAACGCTCCTTCACCAGTGCCGGCATACTGTGCATACTCTGTACATGGCAGTGCAACCCTGCGCTCTATATTTTATATTTCACTCGGAAATGGCGCAGTCAGAAGCACTTCTCATTCGTCAGCATGGTCAGGTGACTGCGCTGACCAATGAGTGCTTGCCATTTGCCAGCGTAACCCAAAATACAGAGCGGAGGGCTGCACTGCCGTGTACGGATAGTGCACTGGCACAGGGGAAGGAACGTGCACCCAAAGGTAAATATAGCGGGGTTGAGGGGGTAATACAGTTTTCTCAAATTCACCTGGGAAAGATAATTACCCTTTTTGAAGTAAACCTGTCACATACCTGGCCAATTTAGGCAGGCTTGCGATGATCGCAAGTATGATCTGCCTGTCCAAGATGGGCAGATCATACGTTTTTTTAATTACTTTACAACCATCGCAAGACTAAGGTCTTGCGATGGTTGTAAAGTGTATGGCCACCTTTAGACAAAAGTGGGCTATACACGCAGTTAATTTTGGCCGGTTCTTGAAGGACTGGCCAAAATTCTCTGCGTGTGTGCTGCTGTCGGCACCCTTCTGCCCGGCATCCCTCAATCAGCGGTTGGAAACGGCCAGCGACCGTCGTCGGAATACAATAGAAACAGCGGGGGGATTCCTCCATGGACGCTCGTAAACTTTGATGGAGGAATCCGTTCCATTTATTTCGTTCAGCCCGCAGCTTAAAAGGAAATTAAAATAGCACCTTGTATACCCCACTTAAGGGTTCCTTCACACTTCCTCCACATTCTAAAACTGAGTGATGGTGTGTGAGACCTGGTGGGTGGATAGTGTGATATGCTGCACAGGATTGTTTGTTAAAAGTGTAAGTAAAGCTTGGCTATACAGTAATGTTTTTTTTCATTCGGCTTTCGAGCTGAAAGAAAAAAACAGGTTCCTCCATTTATGCTAAACAGCGTTGGTGGAGAAATCTGCTGTGGCTATTGTATTTTGACATATGACCCCACTCCTTCGATTTTTTTTTTTAGTTGAAGGATTTCTAACACACATCTTACTAATGCACACGAGGGTGGCTCCATAGAACCCTGCATGGAAAGGAATCATTCTAAAACAAGATATCATGGCCAGGTCTCGGGGACCAGCT